AATTCTGCATAAGGGATAAAAGGTGGTGAAAGAGTTGAGTGCTGCAGCTTACTTAGAGGGAAAGGGGATGAAGCTCATAATGAACAGTTGCTCATCTCTGGTCCTGGTTCAGGTCAGGAAGCATGGCACAGCTTCAGCAATGGTGGCACTCTGCTGGCTCATGGTGGCCTGCTCTCTCCTGGAGCCCTGGGGCTTAACCGTGGGCTCAAGCTCTAACACAGGCAGGCAAAGAAATACTATTGCTTAAGGCTTGTGCAGCTAAATGCAGAAAAAGCATGAAGCATTATTATGCAATTCCTAATGGCAAAGAGGTAGACAGGATCACCTAATGTGCCTTATTTCATCTCCATATTGATTGTTTCTGTGAAGTGAAAATAAATACTGATAGATCCATCTCACTGCTCTCAAAACACCTTAAAAGAATCATTCTTCACGGAGGAATATTAATTAGTCATACTGAAAATCCTTTCCCTTTTTCTTTCCTCTTTTACACAACTGTGTGCGTGCACACATGCTTGAACTTGGAATCGTTAATTCCTCTTTATGCCTTTGAACATCTCTAAGTGATTCCTCAGTTTATCAAGTGTATTTGCTGTTTATTATATGGATGTCACTTCCATGCCTCCATATTGAAGCAATAAGGAAAGGATGTACTTATCTATAAATATCTAACTATAGTGACAATAAAGATAGTGAGGAATTATCAAGTACTGAAAAGATGTAATGAGCTGAAACTAGAAAAAAAGTAAATTCATTTTATGCATTAGGAGAAAAAGGCATTCTTAAGGGAAGGTCAGTCCTACAGTGGGATAACTTACATAGAAAAAGTTCATCATCACTGCAGAGGTGATGATGTGAATATCAGATACGGTATGTGAGAAAGTAGAGAGGTATAGAAAAATAAAGCTGTAGTAAATATTTTGTAGAAAACATTAATGCACTGATGAGCAGCCAGAGGGGAGAGCCCAATATTTCTTTTCTGTACTTTTACTATGTAAGGTTATACTTTCATGACACTAGCAGTTGTTAATAGCAATGGAAGGGAGGCGTAACAGGATAATCTAAGAGGCCCCTTTCAGTTTTAACATCTACAGAATTAATTTGTCTCCTTCTTGGCACTGAACTCACCCTTCTCTGATTTATATATCCAGAGTTTTTATTTTAATGCTTTTGCATGTAGGGGAAAAATATTACAGCCTGATAGGAACTTTAAGAAGTTACTTGCCGTGTGAAGAAGTACATTCTTACTGTTGTCACCAGGTATTGCTTATTTTCTGCCCACTTGCCAGAAGTGCATTAAACACTCAGTAATGCTAACACCAGTAACAAATAATTATCCTGTGGTGCAATATATGCTGTGCAAAGCCTTTTAGCCATCATAAAGATTACTTCCTGTACTGTCAGATTTCTATACTGTGGGATTACAAGGATTTATTTTACTGAAAAGAAAAAGCTGTCTGCTGATAAGATCACATATCAAAAATATGCAAAAATGTTCCCTTTACATTTGGCTAAGGCAGAGACTGCGTTCTTCCTTTGCATCCTAATTTGGAGACCCAAAAAGTATATAGGTGCTAGTGCAGACAACCCTCACCAACCTGTTTTCCTTGCACTCAACCACACAGGGCAATCATCTACTTCCATTCATAAAAGGCAATGAGAAGGGAAGTAATTTTTCTATAGGAACCAGAGTGTGCTTTGGACTAAGATTGGTGTGCAGTCTTGGGTATTTGCTCATTTCTGGAAAAACTGAAACAGTCAGTCAGGAATAAAATATGGCCTCTCTCTTTCACTCGTAATATGCACACTGAGACAAAAGAAGAAGAGTGGGAGGTGGAAATAGGCAGTGTGTCCCTCTGCCTTTTCTTGAACAGGTTTATGGAGCACATGCACTTCTCAAGGGTGAATCCCTTACCAAGAAATTAACAGAAACCATTTTCCTAGGGGATAAGAAGTATCTGTTCTAACTCAGATCTGATCTAACTCAGTATAAATGGACTAAATGGAATGGACCCTTTTCTTGCTCTTTTGCTGTTACAGTTGCCATATCTGGGAAAAGTAGAGTTTCAGTTACAAGGGGAGGCATATCATCAGGTATTCTAAATGTTAATAGCTTCATTGACTATACTTGCTGAAAAAGAAGGATGTGCCCCGGGGGTTTTGATTTTTCTAGACTTTCCCCTCGGACAATAAGCATCAGTTATTTGCCCAGTGCAGATAGATGCGTCCAAGATGTACAATTTCCAGCAACTACAAGGCAGGAGGTGTGGATAAATGTTGTTATTTCCTGTTTATTTCTTGGTTTCAGTCCGTATTTTTCCTGGAACTATCTTTTGTGCTTTGTTTTCCTCAGTAATACACAATATTTTGTAAGCTTTGTTTGCACAAAGCAAACCAGACTCTCTTCTATTTTGTAACATCAATATACTCCTCTCCCCTTTTAAAATTTGATAGTCAAGAATGTATATGATACAGAATTTGTGAGGTCCTTGCATAGTGATCTTATATATTATCTTTTCATCCACTCCTGTCTAGTTCTTAAACTCTCTGCTGTCATGTTACTTCATTACACATTCCTTTCAAGTTTATGGAGGTTTCTCAGATTTCTTCCCAAGCATCCCATAGAAAAACCCCTACACATACACCTCAGTCTTGATTTCTTCCATCACTGACTAAACATCGATACTTGGGAGTCCTTTATATTTTTTCTTTTTCCCCAGTTTTTGACACCAGGTTGTAGGGCTGCTGTATTTCAGGTGACTCAATTGCTTTCTGACCTCTCAGTCCTCATGTTCCAACCTCCCTTTCCCTCTTCTAAAGCCCTCAATATTGAAGAATTCAGACGGGTGATCTCATGACACCTTCTGCATATAATTATACCTTGAGATTTCTCTGGAAAGAAGACTACTACTTGCTTGGTGCTCTTGATGAAAGCACCTTCCTGCCTAGAGCAAGGTATAGGTAATTAATTAGGACCAATATACTGCCACAGGCAGGGTTGCTGCTATGCTTGCCTGAGGAGGCTACATGCAAATAAGCTCGTTCTCCCTGAAAGCCAGGCTCTTCTCATTTGGAGACTCTAGTGTTTAGGATTTATGAAATTTAGGCACTGGTCAAGAGAAATCATGAAATAATGGAGTATAGATGAGGGATGAATGAAGCAGATGCCAGGTCTGCATTGCAACAGAAGTGTAAGTAGACGCATTGTGGAGCCTTTTCAGTAAGATGCACATTTAAAGGCATAACAGATTCAGTAAATTGCTTTTGTAATCTGTAATTTTACAACATATTGAAAGTCTCATTTTCTGAACTAGTAAATTTCAAATGGAATATCAACAGTCCTGTTTCACTCCTTTTCATGTGAATTTGTTCTGAGACCATCAGCTTTTCTCCTGACACTGATTATTGTTAGGTACTATCAATACAATATCCATGACAAAACGACCACACCACTGGCTAAATCATTACTACATTCAGTTGCATTATGTGTGATGCTGGCACGCTACGTTAAGTGGCAGCCGCCACTCCAATTCCATTGCTGATGAGAACCTGAGGACTGTCATGCTTTCCCTGTATCACAACAGCTGCAAGCAGAGCTGCACAGGCAGAAAATTTTCCTCTGTGAGCTATCATCAACAGCCAATTAACACTTCAGTATTGTATATGTGTCAGAGGAGGGTCAGAACTTCAGCATGAACTGCACCCAAATTTTGCAGGTACTTCCTCTCTAAAATTCTAGATCAGAGAGAACAAAAACCCAAAGGAGATGGGAATGCAAAGATATGCTCTCACCGGTTGTTCCCACCATCATCTTTTTCCCAGAAATGAGGAGCCTAGGAAAATCACATAGTGTCCTTTGTAGAGAGCTTAGGCATTGCTCAGACCCTGCAGCTCTTCCCTTTGTCCTCTGCTGCTAGGTTACTCTTCCCTGGGCTGAAAAGCCTGGCTCAGGTGCCAGCACATACAACAGCTGAAGGCAGCCCACTCATTCAGACTATGTGCAGGTCAGAAAACTTGCCAAAATGTCCACATTGACATTATGAGGGATTTAAAGGGAGCAGATATGACAGCTTATATATATATGTACATGTTCTTTAACTGTAGTCACTGTAGTAGGTGTAAATTGCCTACGTTTTCAGAACACTTTCTTATTTCTATTGACATGCCAGTGAATTTCTGGCAGTTTTCTTATGCATGATAATTTTGCAAAACAAAAAAAGCAACCAAACCAAACCCTCTTCAAGGGAACTTGCATATCAAATGCAGACTGGTATTTAAAAATCCATTTGGCCTTTATCATTCTTTTTGTTCTGTGCCACAGTCTCTGTCCTGAGAGCAACAGCCAAATTAATTAAGCAGCAATCCTAGTTAATGTAACTAATGCCTGATTTAATCACATTACATATTATCACCCCCTTTAATTTTATACCATGTCCCTCTAGGCTGAAGCCAAGCATCTTGTTTGTAAGTTCAGATTCGGTTCTGAAATGAGCATACAGGTCTTGAAGATTTTTCTTTCGCTGCTCCTCAGAACTCTTGGTTTGTCAGCCTGTCTTCATCACTAACACATATGACAAGGTTTTAATTTTTCGTTCTTAGGCCCTACTTTGTTTTATTCCACATTGCATTAAAAGATCCCAGATTACGCACTTAGAGTTACGAAAATTCTTTTGAATCTCATGGGCTGTTCCAATTTTTCGTTGTAATATCTTTCAATTAGACCAAAATTATCAAATGAAATAAAAATCTTCTCTTCATTACAATGATCTCAGCAAGCAATAGCGAACAAAGAATGAAAAATCTCCAGCACTGTGGGGGCATCCTGAAGTCCAAGCATCTACCCTTTTATAAATATGGAGGGAATGCTAAGTGCTAATGATACGTCGGACACAAAAACAGACACCAGCAGGGGAAATTTTTACTTGCATTATTCCAACAGAGATTGTAAATCATGCCTTTTTTATAGTATTTCAATAGATCTGCACACATACTGTATTACAACTGTGCAATTCCAAGTATGAAATTACTAATTAAAATGTATTCACAGCAAGGTTATTTCTTGAAATGAAATAGTTGGGGCGGACACAGAACACTTGAGACTACATTAGCCTTTCACCTATCAATGGAGAGACAGGAAAAAAAGAAAGATCCTGATTTCAAATTATTCTACTTTACTTGCATGTTTGAAGAGTTATGGGTGAGAGACTTGTGGTTTATTACCATACAACAAAACTATTTCATGATATTTCACCTTTCCACCAGCTCTCCAGAAGCATGTTCATTGTGGAAGTCTCAGAATGGAGGAAAGGAATTGCAGGGAAAATGGTAGAAAGATTGTTGAAAAACATTAAGCTGAGAAGCTGCTGCTGTCCCAGATGTGAAAAGCAGCAGTTGCATTGAAAGCTCCTGCAACACATCATCTGGGTATGTTCCCTGTCTGAGCAAAGCATGTGCTTGCAAGTGGGAACCAAGGTAAATGGGAAAGTGGAGGGAGCACAGTTACAAGTGAAGCTCCTCTTGTAGATGAATGTGTGCTTAGAGATCTCACATATGATTTCCTGTGACAGCCCTGGTGGATATGAACATTGGACTTCTACTTTTATTGTAGAACCCTGTCATCAGAATTGATGGAGAGCATTTTATGTCCCTCAGCCTCCATCACCAAGTTCTTTCGTATTTGATCCAACTGTGTCAGTTCATCCTGTGGGTTTATGAGCTAGGCAAATAGCATTAGTCAAAGTAAAGTGTTTAAAGCAATTCAGAACAGTTACAGTAATTAAATTTGGAATTGTGAATATGAGTATCAGGACTCTACTTTTCAAAAAACTTGCATACAATCAGCAAACAACCTTTATCAAAACTGCCAAATGTTTGATCAAAACATTCTTTGTGTTGAACATTGATTGCTCATGAATAATCTGAAGCCAATGAATAAAACACTTTATCCATAAATAAGGCAGAATACTAAATATCTAACTTCAAATTATGTTCCTTGATATCTCTTAGAAAAAGCCTGAAATTATTACAGAGCCATGCTGCATTTTCTCAATTGTATAACTTGCCACAGGAATCCAGGTGGTAGCTGGATTTCAGTCTGGATGTGATGAAAGATATAAATTTAGATGTCCAGAGTAGGTTGGAATGTGATTTCTCCCATAAAGAAACATATTTAATGTGAGTGCTGACAGAAATACTAATACAATTGATGCTGCCAACTTACCACCCAACAAAAAACATAAGGAACAAGCCTGCTGTTTTCACTCATTTGAGGGAATGGAACTTGTTATTTCCAAGATACTAAGGCTCAGAGGAAAAACATAGCAGATATGTTTGATTTTGATTTTATCTGTGTGGGTCTAAAAATGTTGGTTAAACAATATAACCTTCCACACAGGGTGTTTGAGAAAGGAATGTTTTGTTATTTAGTCTCTGGCATAGAAATATGCACAATGTAGAAAGTTTCTGTATGTCTAGTTGAAGGTGTTGAGTTACACTTACTTTAGAAGCTCAAAGGAGCCCTGGCCACAAAATCATAAACAAAGTATAATAACAGAGTCAGTTATACTGAGGTGGAAAGAATGATTACTCAGCATTTTCCATAAAGATTAGTTTATAGTAGGTCCTCACCTAACAGGTTCAGTACTTCAGCATTTAAGGTTGTGGACTCACCCGTTCCCTTATTCATTGACTCCAATGCATTATTTGCCCTCAAAAGTTCTGCCAAGTTTACACAGAAATTACTTGCTATAATGTTTAATTAGAAAACTTAGTCTAATTTACAAATGTAAGGCAGGGACTGTTTTATCGGGATGGAGAAATAATGTCAGGTAGGTTCTTTAAGAGGTTTAAAGCTGATCTAGTTTATCTGTGGAAATAACTTGCTTTTTCAAGTGAGCTCAAAAGCAGTTGAAATACCTTCAAAATTATACTGAGTGGGTATTTTTTTGGTTTCTGTACCCACTAGAACTGGAAACTTATTGCCTACTATGACTACTGCCATGCCAGCCTGACATACACAAGCTGGCTTTTGCTTACTCCAGGCCATATATTTTGGCTTGAAATTCAACACAACAGCACTTCAGTTTGAAAATCTTTATTTCAGGAGGATTTTTGCCTGAGTATTTATTTATTTACTTATTTATTTATTGTAATCTGAATCATGCTTTATTTGTATAATTAACACATATTTTAATTTCAGAAAAATGTGTGTGTACACCAACTAATTTTTCAATCCTCCCAAAAATGGAACAGCATCTGTACATAATGATGCTTGTCTATTTGTTGACTTGGTTGTCCAAAATTTCAGCTTTTTCGTAGGCACTGGTACATTTTTCTCCCAACTATTTCTGTGTTGGGGCCTGGAGCACATCTACCCATGAGGGGAGATTGGCTGCAGGGCTTGGGGCCAGCACAGCACCCTGGTTTGTCTGTCCCACAGATGTGCATGTGGGGAGAATGTCATGGGTGACAGGGTGAGAGGAGGTGGCATAGCAGGCAGGTAGCCTCTGTTGTCTTGATAAACAGCCAGCCCCACATCATTGCCAAAAAGAAGTCCTTGTCTTCCCAGTACGGAGCATTTGAACTCAAAAATTAAGTCCTTTTAACTTTTGAACTTTTTAGAGCTCATGAACTTTACTCGTGAAGAGCTGAGGCAATGCAATTCAATTCTCTGGTCATTTTCTTTTCAGTCATAGACATGAATCACAACCACAAAAATTAGATCAGGGCATCGACTTTAGAAGTTGAATGCAGCCACAAGTGAGAAATAATAGATCAAATTCTGTAGTTCACAGATTCTTTATCAGAGTAAATTTAAAGACAAAAGAGAACTAGGGCAAAGAAAGATCTAGGGCAAATCTGTGGACTTTAAACTCAGAAGGATTCAGAACTAGTTCTCCTATTTGCATGCTGACAGTGGATATAATGGAAGGTAGATCTGATTTAAAGTGACTAAAATTACACTGTTTAGAGAAGATCACATTCACAACAATTTCAGTTGTTGATCAGGAAAGTGGATCTTGTTGCAAAACATCAAATGCTTTTATGTCCTGAAAAGTACTAAAACAACTCGACCTCCCCCAAGATCTTTAATTATAATTAGCATGCAAAAAATCATAAGCAAATTCCTAACATTTTAAAGGCACATTTAAGGTTTAATTGCAGGAACACAAACAGAGAAATTAGAATGTTGTTTCACACTGCCTGTGTGAACTGTTGCTCAGAAGTAAATGTGAAGTTGCGTATATCATTTTGGGAAAGCTTATTGCTTGTGAGATCAAACCAAAGGAGGATCTGATCCAATAATTCTTATATGAAAGCAAAATTGTAAAATATATACAAAACTTTTGTTATAAACAAAACCTAAAGCACCATGTTTCCCAGTGCTGTAATTTATTAAAAATGGGAATTAATGAGAAAAATATCAAGAATAGTTTCTGCTTATCCATGTTTACTATGTAAAACTTGGCAGCCTTTTCACCTTGGAGCTAAAGAAGAGGAAGACGTAATAGGATATTTAGAGAAATGGATTTGCAGGAGACTCTGAAGTGACCTCTCTATTGCAGTGGAGTCACACCTGCATACTAACAAAAGCTGTCACCACCACAGATTAGCTTCACAGTTTTCTCTGCAGAAATTGTCCTTAATACTAAAAGGAAACACAAAGAAGGGATAGCCCATCCAAAGGAACAGATTGAGGGCAGGATAATAATAAAACACTCTTATGAAGAACACTCTTGTCGTGGTTTAAACCCAGTCAGGTAATTCGTTCGCTCACTTCCCCCCCCTTTCTTGCCCTCCCCCTGCTCTCGGAGGGACGGAGAGGAGAATCAAAAGAATGCAACTCCCACGGGTTGAGATAAGAACAGTTTAGTAACTAAGGTATAACACAGATCACTACTGCTACCACCAATGATAATAATGATAAAGGAAATAACAAGGGAACAGAATACAACACCTCACCACCCGCTGACCGATAACTCGCCCCCCAAGCCCGACCAAGCTCCGACCGATACCTCCTCCAACCCTGCAGTCTCCCAGCCCTTCCGGCTCACTCCCAGTTACATCCTGGGCATGACGTGCTGTGGTATGGAATAGCTCTTTGGTCAGTTTGGGTCAGGTGTCCTGTCTCTGCTTCCTCCCGGCTTCCCCTCCTCCCTGGCAGAGCATGAGGCTCACAAAGTCCTTGGCCAAACCAAAACATCTCTATCAGCTCTGTTCCCGAGCCGAAAGTCAAAACACAGCACTGCACCAGCTACCAAGGAGGAGAAACATGACTGCTACTGCTGAACCCAGGACAACTCTGTTCAACTTTTTTTTTTTTTTTTTTACATATGTAGATGGACTGGCTCCAGGTGCGGAAAACTGGTAACATACATTCTGTTGTTTAGGAAAATGTAGAATTAGTATTGTTACAATTGGCAAGAATGATAGGTTTTCTTATGTCAGGGTACGACTGGAGGAAAACTCAGTGTTGGACTGTCCTGCGTTCAGCTGTAACAGTTATTCTTTTTTCCTTTTTGGTAGCTGAATCAGTGCTGTGTGTTTGGCTTTAGTCTGAGAACAGTGCTGATAACACATCAATGGTTTTAGTTGTTGCCAAGTAATGTTTACCCTGATCAAGGACTTTTCCGTCTCTCACGCTCTGCTAGTGAGGAGGGGCACGAAAAGACGTGAGGAAGCAGAGACAGAACACCTGACCCAAACTAGCCAAAGGGGTGTTCCATACCACAGCACGTCATGCCAAGTATATAAACTAGAAAGAGTTACTTGGAAGGCCCAGATTGCTGCTCGGGTTGGGCTGGGTATCGGTTGGCAGGTGGTGAGCAATTGCATTGTGCATCATTTGTGTTTGTTTTCTTTCTTTTTCCCCTTTAGTGTCATATTCTCTCCCCTTGTTATTTCCCTTATCATTATTACTGGTGGTAGCAGTAGTAGTTTTGTATTATACCTCAGTTATTGGACTGTTCTTTTTTCAACCTGTGGGTTTTACATTCTTTCAGTTCTCCTCTCCATACACCTAGGACCAGGGTGGGGGGAGGAAAGAAGGTGGTTGGAGTGAGAGTGGGCTGCATGGTTCTGAGTTACAGGCTGGGTTTAAACCACGACATAGACCTATTTTTTTCTTGGTCCCAAGAGTGAAATTAAGATGCAAATGAGGTCAAGTACTGTAATCAATCAGTTTGTTTAATACGAAGCAATAATTATTATAAAAATGGAGATAGCGACAGGACAGATAAAAAAAAAAAAAAAAAAGAAGCAGGAATTTGGGGTTGTCGTGGTTTAAACCCAGTCAGGCAACTTGTTCACTCACTCCCAGTGAGTGGTGCCGGGATGACAGCAATCGAGGGCCCCCCCCCAACCTGGGCTCTCGCCTTCCCCACTCCCGGAGGAACGGGAAGGAGGATTGAAAGAGTGCAACTCCTACAGGTTGAGACAAGAACAGTCCAGCAACCAATGTACAACACAAATCG